CATCATCCTAGAAGATACTAGTTCCTGAATAAAATCAGAAATTACAAAATTCACGCCCTACAGTTGTCCCTTTTTTTTTTCTTTTTTAAATGAAAACCATTGAACTCGAGCTAGTGAACCCAAAAAAAAGAAGAAGAAGCAAAAGCAGCATCTTGAATTATTGATGAAAACGCGCATGGCGTACGATGCTTCCTAAGGTTATACTAATTAAGCAACTTTAATGACCTTAATGTTCAATCAAGTTAGGAACTTTCTTACACGGATTAGATGAGAATCGATTCCTATTTGTGGTTCGATGCCAAGTTGGTTCCCATAAGAAGTTGCATCAATTGGAAATACCAGATAAAAGATAAAGATCTTCACACCATGAGTCATAAGGAAGATACGTGTGGAGAACCCACAAAATATTATCTCTATATATACACCTTAAAAATAAAAATTGCTTCAAGTTACGTAAAGAGCTCCTAATGGACGACTGATGAATTAAAACATTTCTTTCGTCAATTGACTAAGATCACTTAGAACATTATCTCTATGTATACACCCTCAATTACGTTGATAGTGCTTAGTGAACTTACAAAATTTCACAACATTATATGTCCCATCATATTATTCCAGTGGCTTGTGAAAGCAAACAATACTATTCTTATGAAGAAAATGGCGCCATTAAATTAAGCACCTAGCTAAATTAGTCCTGCTGTCAACATTACAAACAGACAGACTGCAGAAGAAAGGTGTGTGAAGTAATTAAATCACTTTCAATATGAGGAAGACCATGTACAGTCTCATGTGACTGAGAAGGCCAATCTAAAGATTAGAAGATAGATTGGTGATTTGCCTCACCTTCGCACGGCTTCATTTAGGTAATATACTAGAAGTGCTCTAAAAATCACTTGTTAACATGAACCATTACATGACCATAGGGAGTTGCCCCAGTAGCCATCATCTTCACTTGGGAAGGGGGAGGTGGAAGGTTCGATTCCCCAGCTTCTCGGGGGGCTTGGGATGGGGACACATGAGTAAGGGAGCAGGGTTTCACAACTTGCGCACAGCACATAGCACACACAATGGCTTGTAACATAGTTATAGGATAGGAAAGGACCGGACCAAAAAAAAAGCGTGAACCATGACATGGCAGAAATTTATCGTGTTCACACGCCAAACTTCTTGCCTTAAGTTGAGCCTTTTAGCTAACAAATTCTACCTTCAATATTTTAACGATATCGATTAAATTTTTGTTTATTTAAATGTGATTTGGTGGAAAAAAAATTGATGAGTGTGTTACATGTTTTAAATTGAGTCTGGTCATCAAATATAATGAGACTCATGTGGCCCCATACGAGACCCACCAACTATCTAAATTCAATTTAGTATGTATACTACGCTCATTGAATACTTACTAGACGGGCTTCTTAGCCTTCATCACCAAATAAGGCAATATTTAGCTAAACATCCTAATTCTTCTTGGTGTGAACAAGGAATAGGTACTAACTCTTTTACTTGGTGAAAGAGAATGAAGGAATTTACATCGACGTTATTGATAAGGCATTTGAATATGTTCCTTATAGTACAAAAAGAGAGAACCTCATTACCACGCGAATGTGAATCAAATTAAAGATTGAACTGGCCTCCATACAACATGTTAGTGTAATTAAAACCTATATATGTGTGTATATGTGTATGCAAGGTTCCGTAGCTTTGAAACTCATACGTTTTAATCAAGTCTCAAAAGGAAGGGTTTCACAACTTCTACTTCAAGGAAAATGTGGGACTTAAGAGCAACAGTAATCGGGTTGATTGCACTTAAGGTATATTATAATAATTCAACGCAGAATAATATAGTTTTTCTTTTCCATAAACTTAGCTCCATCAAAATATTTGGTGCGATCGGTGAAATCAAACATAAGCAGAGCAATGGAGATGGAGAAAATTCTCAGATGATGTTAGACTATTAGTTTGTTCACAAGTAATGCGCGTTGGTCTCTGGGGTATACTTGACGAACCCAATAGTTTCAAGCTTTTTAAGAATGAAATTGCATTTTTCCCACCCTTTACCAACATAATTATCTCGAGAGTCCACTGGAGTACCCTTTTTTTTTTTCAATAATGAAAGTATCCTCTAATATTTCGATAAGATGAAGGATTAATTATCTTGGTCCAGGTCTAGTTGCTTCCCGGTTTGACTAAGTAAAGTCAACGAAAGATGAAGCCACAATGGCAATTATGGGCTTCCACGTTGAGTTCATTTGATAGAATCGGCGATTCTACAAGTTTAAAAGTCTCGAATGTAAAACAAATTACAAATTTGAAGATCCCCGTTAAATGTTCATCATTGACTATGATCACTTAAAATATTATCTCTCTATATATACACCCTCAATTACGGAGATAGTGCTTACAAAATTACACAAGATAATATGTCCATGCAGAGTAACAGCAAACAATACTACTCTTATGGAGAGAATAGCACCATTAGATAGACATTATAAATAGCACTTGCCAGTTTCAATTTTCGCAATATCCCTTTTAATTTCCTAAAATCCGTTTGCCATCTCACCCGTAACACCGCCTACCAGCAAAACTTTAGCTAGAATTCCGGCCTAGTGTTTTTCACATGACTTATTTGCTCCTTATTTGAAGGACAAATCTATCTAATGTTTAAATAAAAGATATTAGTTACATAATCAAAGAGATTGTTTTAGAAAAACGGAAATCTTGAATCAAAGTTAGAGAGAGAGAAGGGCGAAGAGGGAATTGGATGTCAAGTAAAGGCAATAGTGCATTTCAGTGATAAATATCCCTTAGACGACTGCAATCGTTATCCTGCCACGATATACTGGCCGTTTTAATCAAGATAGCCTTTGAAGAGAAGCAAATGCATTATTACTGACGTTAAGTTTTTTGTCGGATTTCCCATAGATACCACGATTGCAACATTTGTGTCCGAAAACGAGAATTTTGAACCCAACCAAACATATCTAGAACCAATTCAAGACTGAAAACTGCATAGTGCAGACTTCAAGGCTTACGTGGATGTAAGAAACGATTAGATTAGACATTTGAGGAAACAAGATATGGGTGTTCAAAGTGGCGTAAAGTCGGCCCAAGGCAATAAACTTTGACCAGCTCATTTGCTCTCAATGAAGTACATTTAGAAGCAAGGGAAGGACATAACTGGATGTATTTCGCAAAGAGCTTTCCACAGATATTCGAGTTTTTCGAAACTGCTCTCGAAGGCTTGTTGTGGATCACAAGTAGCACCATTACAGAAGCTAATATAATCTTGAAGGAACCCATAAGTAAGTTCTTCGTTAAAATCCCCTCCTCTATTCATTTCCCTTTTGAGGAAAAGTTTCAAGAAAGATCAGAAGCTAGAGAGAATTTGGGAGGGAATAATTTTTCAATGTGAATATTCAATTATGCAACAAAATTAAATAGGAAAAACTATAAAGCCAGCATTTGTGGCGCTGCCACAACTACATTATCATCCTAGCAGATACTAGTTCCTTAATAAAATCAGAAATTACAAAATTCACGCCCTACAGTCATCCCTTTTTTTTCTTTTCTAACGACAACCATTGAACCCTAGCTAGTGAACCAAAAAAAAAAAAAAAAGCAAGAACAGCATCTTGTATTATTGATGAAAACGCGCATGGGATAAGATGCTTCCTAAGGTTATGCGCTTTAGGCAACTTTAATGACCTTAATGTTCAATCAAGTTTGGGACTTTCTTACACGGATTAGATGCGAATCGATTCCTATTTGTGGTTCAATGCCAAGTTTGTTCCCATAAGAAGCTGCATCAATTGGAAAAACCAGATAAAAGATAAAAGATCCCCACACCCTGGGGGTTAAGGAAGATACGTGTGGATAACACACTAAATATTATTATCTCTATATATGCACCTAAAACATGAAAATTGCTTCAAGTTACGGACAGAGCTCCTAATGGACGACTGATGAATTAAAACATTTCTTTCGTCAATTGACTGAGATCACTTAGAACATTATCTCTATATATACACCCTCAATTACGGTAATTGTGCTTAGTGAATTTACAAAATTTCACAATATTATATGTCCAATCATAGTATTCCAGTGGCTTGTAGAAAGCAAACAATACTATTCTTATGAATAAAATAGCGCCACTAAATTAAGCACCTAGCTAAATTAATCGTACTGCCAACATTACAAACAGGCAGACTGTAGAAGAAAAGAGTGTGAAGTGGTCATAATTAAATCACCTTCAATATGAGGAAGACCATGTAGTAGTGCGTATTCTCTTCCTTTCCGAACACACCTAGGCTACAGTCTCATGAAGCCAAGAAGGCCAATCTAAAGATTAGAAGATAGATCGGTGATTTGCCTCGCCTTCACGCTGCTCATTTAGGTGATACACAACGAGTGCTTTAAAAACACGCTGCTCATTTAGGTGATACACTACGAGTGCTTTAAAAACCACTTGTTAACGTGAACCAATACATGAAAGAAATTTTTCGTGTTCTCACGCCAAACTTCTTGCCCTAAGTTGAGTCTCTTGGATAGTAGATTCTACTTGCATTCTTATAATAATATCAATTAGTTTTTTGTTCATTCAATGTGATTTGGTGGAAAAAAATTGATGTATTAAATTGAATCTAGCGGTCAAATATAATGACACTCATGAGATCCACCAACTGCACTGCACTCACTGAATAATTACTGGACCGGCTTCCTAGTTTTCACCACCAAATAAGGGAATATTTGGCTAAACATCCTAAATCTTCTTGGTATGAACAAGGAATAGGTACTAACTCTTTTCCTTGGTGATAGAGAAAATCAAGGAATTTCCGTTGATGTTATCGGTCAGGCATTTGAATATGTTCCTTCTAGTACAAAAAGAGAACCTCATTATCACGCGAATGTGAATCAAATTAAAGATTGAACTGACCTCTATGTGACATGTTAGTGCAATTAAAACCTGTATATATGCAAGGTTCGGTAGCTTTTAAACTCATACATTTGAATCTAGTCTCAAAAGGAAGGGTTTCGCAACTTCTCCTTCAAGAAAAATGGGTAACTCTGGTTCAGGTTCTTCAGATTCCCCGGGCATGGATTGCCGGTGCGTTTGCTCTCCACCACCCTCCAACCCCCCAATTCCCACCCCCCGACCCACCCCCACCGTCCCAATTCCCAGCACCCGACCCACCCCCACCGTCCCGTTTCCCAGCCCCCGACCCCCCAAAGGGTGAAAATAACAGCTCCGAAGGCACGGAAGGGGTGAGGACATGCTGTAGCAGTTTGGCATGGGGGTCATGAGTTAGACACATCTATATGCATGTTGGAATAAGATCGTGGATCATGCGCTTCATCAAGTCCGATGGTCCAAATTATAAGGGCATATTTGTCATTATGCTGGTTTTCTATTGTAATATACTCTCATGCTCCCATTAAATAAATGTTCTCAAACTGGGTTAATTTGAGTTCTGCTCGTTGATTGTGATACTTCATTGTTGACGCCTAAATTTTGGTGATCCGTTTAGACATTTATTGCATAAAAATTAGGGGGTTGAACTCAACCCCTAGCAAAAAAATATTATTTAAATTCCATATAGATGTTAGGAACATTTTCTTATCATTGCATTATAGCTAATGGACTGGCGTGACAGGGTTCTAAGCTTAATTTATGCTAATTGGACTAAGCCCATGGTGTAAGAAAATTCAACCCAGCCCATGAGTATTATAAGAGCCGAAATTTTCCCATTGGATAATTGAGCAATTAATCTTGATTATTATTCAAGTCTTGGAGGACAATTGTTCGATTTGGTTTGATATTATCAAAATTCTAAGAGATAATAAAAGCGCCATATCAGTAAAGTGTATCTATTAGAATTTAAAATTGGGAATTTTAGTCTAAACCTAGTACTATATAAAGGAACGCTCATTCACGTTTGAGGAAGGGACACATTGAATACACGGCCACCCAATTGACATACACGGCCAGAGAATAGAGAGAGAGGAGAGTGGCTTTGTTTTGCTCGAACGCCCGATTGCACCACCATCGTGCAAAACCAGAAGACAGCGAATTCCAGATCGATTCTGTCACGTCTCAGATCGAAGTTCCTCCTGCCATTGACTCGCCGCCTGGCTCTGTCCAGTTTCAACGACGCCTCCTGAACTTGCTCTTGTTTCCCAGAGATCATCTTGCTGTTTTTGACGACGTTGTTGCTCCTCGCTGTCACGTTCCAGTTGAGTCGTTACACAACGCAGTCCACACAGCAGAGCAGTGGAGTAAAAGAGAAGCACGTGGAGCAATACATGGCCGAATATGAAATTCTCGGTTCAGGAGACTCTCTTGGCTATTGACCACCGCCTGCAAGAGAAGGGTTTGGGTCTTTGTTTTTATTTTATTTTCTTCTCACCGAACACATACAGGTTGAGTTTCATTGTTTGTTCTTTGAGAATTTCGGTCAGATAGTCAAATACAACTCCGGGAGGGACTCGCACTTCAACACACGCGTGCATTGGTTGCACTCTGTTTGATTGGCATCCTCGTTGGCTGCCATAGGCATCCTCTACCAAGTTCTACGCTAGCGTTCCTTCGAGATCGCTAGCCGCAAGCTCCCTCACCAATTCCACATCGTGAGCTAGCCACTGAGACCAAGTTCCAACGACCTCCAGCCACCAGCCGCCGTCTATGAGCCGGTCAACGTGAAGCATCGTCAATCCTAAGCCATCCGTCGTTCACATTAAGAAACGTCATCCGTGCAATATTTCGAATGAGGTAATACGATTCATTTTTGATATATTAAGTTGCTTAATTTGAGTTTATTGTGATCTCAACTAGATGATATGTCGATATTATCATATCCAAAAATCTTTTCGAAATCCGTGAATTAGGATCCTTTCCTAATTTCACAACGTACATATGATGGCCAGTCCGATTTCATACCTGAAATACGACTCGCGATCGCTTGGAAAATCGTCAACCCGATCTCCCGCCCGGGATTACACATGCACATGGTCGACAGTCCGATCTCATGCCCGAGTTACATGCCCGAGATACGATTTGCCGATTTTATCTGGTACCAAATTTGAATAGATTGCGTAGATTTTCAAATACCTAATGCGATTTGATTGTTGCGGATGATGTTCGATGTTGGTTTGATTGCCATGCATGTTTATCTATAGTTATAGATAGCATTAGGATAATATTTTTCCTATATTCGAAAATACCAAAAAGATTTGAAGTGGTAGTTTAGGATAGAGTTAGATTTTAAATTTTTCTTGATATGATAGGATAGCTCTGGATAGGATCCTAGTTTAAACTTTCCTAATAGATAGAATAGGATCCTAGTTTGCATTCTAGGATATTACCCATAGTTAAGATAAGTTTTTAATTTAAATTGGGATTAAGATATGTTAACTCCTAGTTTGAATTAAATAATATTTAACTATAGATAATTAATCCTTATTAATTTTAATTTCGAATTTTTAATTAATAAATGAAAATACCAAAAATACCCCTTGCATGTCATTTAGTTAATTACATATCTTAAGTTAATTTAATTAGATCGCATATCATGTTAGAATAGGTCATGTATATTTAGTTTAGAATTAGGTTGGCATATCATGCATTGCAAATACCCTAGTTTTAATAAAAATTAAGAAAATCAAATAAAAGATTTGTTTAGAAACCATGGTTAAGATAGGTTTAGTCTTTATTTCATAAATTTCTATGCAGGTGTTTGAATTGTTACTTTGATGCCATTAATTTAAATGCTTTGGTTTATTGAGTGTTTATTTCATGATTGTGCACTCGCATGATCACATGTTAATGAATATGTTTAAAATCAATCTAAGCTGCCTTACAAACATTTTTTGAAATAAAAGAGAAAGGTACCGGAAGGGCGTTAGAGTAATTTAGCGTAATCAAGTCCCCGAATCCATAATCTCTGGTTCGTAGGAGTAAAGTAATTCTCCCGATACTTTACTTGGGTTTCTAATCGATCCACCAAAAACAGATTAGTGGCGACTCTTAATTAAAATAATATTGCATGTTAAAAACTTGAACCTAAGTTGCGAATTAGTAAAGGCTTGGAAGAGCCCGAGCTAAGTTTAAGCTTAGTAATCCATTAGCCAAATCCTAGGTGTTGTACCCAGAGGTAAGGTCGTGTCAACTTCATCATAAACTCATTACCTCGTACAAATAATGAGAGATGTGGCACTTGATGAATAAGGTAAAACAACCAAATATAGCTGAAGAGGGTATCACGAAACAATAGAACATCAAATATTCAATCATTTTTTAAGGTATATTATAATAATTCAATGCAGAATAAGATATTTTTTCTTTTTGCCATCTCCGTCAAAATATTTGGCGTGATCAGTGAACTCAAATATAAGCAAAGCAACAGAGGAAATTCTCGGAATTGACGACGATGAAGCCACAATGACAATTATGGGCTTCCACGTTGAGTCCATTTGACATAATTGGCGACAATGGCACAAGATTTTTACAAGTTTAAGAGTCTGGATTGTAAAACAAATTACAAATTTGAAGATCCCCCTTAAATGGTAGTCATTGACTAGGATCACTTCAAATATTATCTCTATATATGCACTCTCAATTTTTCCTTTGTTTTATTTGGAAATCATAAATATCCACTTAGGATTTGGCTCGACAACACATATTATATCTCTTCCAAAGACTAGCAAGAGGATATTTGTTTGCAGTAGATAATTATTAAAAGAAAATTAATATAGAAATTCGATGAGATGCGCTAAGTAAATATGCCGTGGTAGATGCAACTATTATGTCACATATAACTTAAAGTTTTCTCGTGCCGAAACATAAGGAAGAACCTCTTTCATGGTTTAATTTTCTGCTTGCGTTTAACGGTCTTGGCTTCGTGTGGTTTGACGCATGGACCTAGGCATACTATACAAGTCTAATTCTACATGCTACCACGCAGACTATGTTGAGGTGGCGTGATACAACACTATATACCTTCCAAAGGTACTACTAATGATGTTTTGCATTCGCTAGCTAGTTATTACATAATAATGGATGAGCCATGGCCACGTAGCAATTAGTATCACGCTAGATATATAATGCATAATATGTTAGCTTAAGGTAAGTCTCACTAAAAAAAATAAGAGAGAGGACCTTATGTGCGAGTTTTCATGTTCTCTTTTAATGTAATGAATAAATCGATGCTTGAGTAATGTAGCCCTTTTTATGTTGGGCTATGATGAAAGGATAAATTAAAAGGTTTTCTTCATCTTGATGAGGTTGAAAACCCTACTTCGAGGATAGGAAGGAAGAGAGAATATAATCTTGGTCTCCATTGGCGAAATAACCACTTTGATAGACCACTCCAAGAAGACAATGCTCTTTTTATCACTCGGGATTCCTATGAATCCACCAAAAGAGAGAGAAAAACAAAACAAAGATAATAAGGGACAATTTCTAGAAAGAAATTTTACTCAATGACTCAGCAATGTATGTGTCGGGGCTAACAATACAACATAAAGGAAGATGAATAGGTTGTCTGAAAATTATGAAAAAAAATTAAAATATAACAAATTAAACTTTGACAATAGTAGAAACAGATTGACAATATCAAGTGCACATGCTACCATCTAGCAGATACTAATAATAATAAACAAATAATGCTAATAGTGAATAGATAGAAGATATCGCAAGCTGATATATAGCGGTTCGGCTTATAACCAAGCCGGCATCAATTCTCTACAACTAATAGCCACAGAAAGGCTAGAATCTACTAATAATCTTCAAGACAAGTCATAATCAACACATAATGCTCATATCAAATGATATATCACACTATCAAACACACAAGTACTGTTATCACTCTCGTACATTTATTTTATCATGATTACAAACAGTAGCACCTCACAGAAATATCAGAAATACACAGCTACTACAAACAATAACACAAAAAAGAAGAACACTAGGCAATAGACTAGTTTTGTTCATCTCTCCCCAACACTGTTGCTTCTCTTGGATTGAATTTATAGCCATTCAACCTCAAATGACCGTTTCCAACTCAAATCCCTCAAGTAGTTGTTGGTTCTAATGTTATCACAGCAGAGTGCCTCTCTATTGCTCATTAGCATCACAACATCTCTCTTTCAGTGGCAATTTCCCAAAACAGTTAGTTTGCTGTTGTTAGAGTCTGTCTTATGCACATAATTGGCAAAACTGCTTTAATTCAACTTCAGTGCTCCTATTTCGAAT